ATCATCATCATCATCATCATCATCATCATCATCATCATCATCATCATCCATCATCATCATCATCATCATCATCATCATCATCATCATCATCATCATCCCTCTCCCCCTCCTCCCTCCCTCCCTCCTTCCGTCCCTCCCCCCCGTCCTCCTCCTTCTCCTCCTCCTTCTCTCCCCCTCCTCCTCCTCCTTCTGCTCCTCCTCCTCCTTCTGCCCCTCCTCCTCCTCCTCCTCCTCCTCTTCCTCCTCCTCTTTCTCCAAGGAGCTTTCCACGGATGCGTTCTGACCAGAGTCTCGAGGCAAATCCAGTCGTGGCGACGGGGGCCGCCCCGAAGGCCCACAAACCGAAAACGAAAGAAGGGTAGCGGCAACGATACTTTGAAGACCTGAGACCTGGGTGTCTTGAAATTCTCCTATATGGGATCACCAGAAGTCCGAGCGCGTCACCAGAGCAAATGCTTCATCGACGATCGTTTTCTGACGGCTCTGGGGCCCGGCGAAGGCCCTCCGAAGCCAAAACGGCCAAAACCCTCCCGTCGTGTTTTTTTCAAAGAACGGCGCCCATGCACCGTACGATGTTAAGACTCCCTTGAGGCTGGCTCCAACGCAATACGGTGCATAATTCTTCGGCGGCTCGGGAAGGCCGAACAACCGTGCACCGTACGCACCGCAACATTCCTGGGTCGAAGACGCCAACGTGGCACTGTGCACGCAAGTTTCGGAAAAGCATTTCGCTAGACAGGTTTACTTGACGTGGACGATGGCCATAAAATAATCCAACCGGGAGAAGCCGCCCGGTCTGGCACCTGGTCAAGCAGCTGTTTCGCCTGAGACCTCCGCACAAGTAATCCCACCAGCCCTTTGGGCGTGAGTGGTTTAGGGAGTCCGCTCTGTTCTCAAAGTCGAAAACGTGATGGTAAGCTTAGGTATGTGTTACGCTTCAAGCGTTGCCATATCCCAGGCTTTGGCTCATATCGCATGAGCAAGAAAGCGAGACGAAGCATGGGATCTGGAGTAACGGATAGAAGGGGCATCTTCAATGGAAAAGGTATTTTCCGATCTCAGATACCAGTCGTGCGCCTCGGTGAGGCACAGTCATATATTTGGCCGGGCCCGGCTTGAGCCAGGCACGGCAGCGGTACATGCTCGATTTATACCTCGCCTTTAACCTTCTCCGTTTAAAGTCGGAGGGGGAGGAGACGAGCAGGCACCGCACTTCTACATTACGCGGAAAAACAGTGCTAAGCAGCAGCGGCTGCCTACAAGGCAAGGGCGCGCGAGTAGCCTCGCTACCGGCGAGTTTCCTCGCTACTAGAGCGCACCTGCATGCGGGTTTCCCCGCTAGCTCGGGAGGCAGGGCCGTCCTGAGACGACCTGCCCGCCCTATACGGTGTATGTTTCTTCAGCTCGTGCTTGAAGGATTGCTGGCCGGCCATTACTTGTAGGAGCAACGCGCGGTCAATACTACCTTTGGTATGACCATCGGCAGTCATATCCCGCGTGTCACACCATTGAACGCTTTCAACGATTCCGCGCTCCATCATCTGGCGGATCCAGCTAATGTGCCCAAGCAGAGTACATTCTGTGGGCTTCTTCAGATCTTTGCTAGACAAAGACTTGAAGACAGACTCGGCATCAATAGTCAGAGTGACTTTGATACATAGACCACCCATTTCCAATATGTTCTTTAACTGTGTGGGGGTCAATGGTCCCGAGTGTAGCTCGTGGAGCGTTACAATGGTCGGGTAGCAGTCTTCCAAGTTGTGGGCTGCTGCCAGTGTTTCCGCAGAGTAGCTCGAACGCACCTGCAGTCGATGAGACTTGCAGTATGCGTCCACCAGGTGCACGACGGGTTTCCCCGCTTGCGTGTGGCCACGCCTCAGCAGGTTAGCCCCGCGGATACCATAGCCTTTGACTTCGTCGTCTTCATCTCCGTTGAGACGACGATAGCCAGAATCGCTATGCAGGTCGACTTCTCCTGTTGGGGTCATAGCTTGATACACGATCTTCTTCGGACCTGCCTGTAGTTTCCTGGTAACCGCGTTTAGTCGTCGTACCTGGATGTTTGTCGGTTCCTGGATACGTTGTAGTGAGACAACATAGACCATCAGCCATACCTGCGTGATCAACGCATAGGCTAGAGCGCCACGAAGACTGACGAACATATCAGAAATCGTCTTTGTCGCTTTGCTCTCAGGATCAGCTCCTGTGAGTTCTGGATGTGTGATAGGACGAAGCTGTTTGATGTATTCGTCCTGATCAAGAGTGACGCTCCCATCATCGGTCTTGTTGTACCGAACGGCACAGTTTGTGTATGTGTGCTTGTTCAGTTTGCACTTTCCAAACGTATCTTCAACACACTTGACATACTTGTCAATAGCATCTTCCTTCCCGGTCATATTGATGTCATCAACGTGTTTGGCTGTCAAGAGGTTTGGGCTCATCTCGAACTCTTCGTCGTATGAAGTAGGCTGTAGCCCAAAGCTCCTAGTGATGGACCTGAGCTTCAACGAGAATGCCCTGGGAGCATCCTTCGTGCCCGTCCCCGGCTTCAGACACCGAAGACAATGCTTTGATTCGTCATATGACTCAAAGCCTGGCAGTGTGCGAAGGACAGCTGCTGACCCAGGAGGTAGTGCGAAGCACACCACACGCTCTTTCTCGCCCGTTGCCGCGGCGAGCTCGCTATAGGTCAGTCCCTTCAAGAAAGCCATGTTGATGTCCAGGGAAGCGATGATCCACGCTTTGTTGCATGCAGCAGAACTTGCGAGCAGTCTCTGGCTTGACCTCCTTGCCGTGCCAGAGAAGGTTTCGACATCAAAGGCTTCAAGTTCCATGAAGCCACGGAGTACCAAGCGTGACCTGATCGTCCTTTCCATTTCGCCCTTTTCGTTCTTGACAAACTTCCATTTGCATGCGTAGCGTGAAGTCATGATGTTAGACGCTTTGCTCAAGTCAGTCATCTGGAAGCATTTGTTGTCAAGCCAAGTCTTCAATTCTGTGTAAAGGGCTTTGGAAACTTTGACCGGATTTGCTTGCATGTCGGCCTTCGTGAGTAGATCGTCTTCCTTGACGACCGCGGCACGTTTGGAAGCAGCACTAACGTATACTCGCATAGTTGTGACGCTGCTGTCATCCAACAATCGGTGTTGCTGCTCGGACAGGACGACTTTGGACATGTCTGCTGTGAAGCAGAGCTCGATGTACTTCCCGTGCTCATCGGAGTCCAGATCATATTTACTGTCCGGATCCGTGGAGCATAAAGGAACGTAGTAAGAAGTGTCCATGTCGTATCCTGGCGGGCGACCCCGCCCCGGCAAGTGGCCTTGCACATCTTCACAGGTCGTAGAGACTAACACACACTGTGTCTGTCATGTATGTGGGAACTGTATGCATGACTTCTTCTGTGCCAGCTTCAAGGAGTGTTCTGTCATCCATCAGTTCAGCATACCACGACTTCAAGACAAAGGCATCCAGATCTTCTTCTGTTTCCTCTATGATGGTCGGGAGCCGACCATCGTTCTCCGCAGGAGGCTGCTCAGGAGCAGCTGCTGGAGGTGACTCGCTTGGTGGTGGACCATCAGCGAGTTCCTCAAACTTAGTGAGGTCTCGGTCAAATCCAGCAGGCGGCTTCTTG